TCATTTGACCATAATGATGTTGGGCGACGCAAGAAGCAGAGAAGTAGTTAGCGTCAATCTGTAGATTATAGTTATAGGGGTATATATTGTGCGCGCGACGTGCATCTTCACGTTTGGCTTGAGCCTCATCACGCTTAGCCTGCTGCTCTTCACGTTCCATGTCCCTAAATTGCTGCTCAGCAGTAAATAGCCGCATATCCTCTTGTAACTTCGCCCATTTCTCTTCATCAAGCTGACGCTTATTAGGGCGCTTCAGTTGTATACCAACAGGCTCACGATTACGGAATCGCTCCTTTAGAAAAGACGGCGGATTTTCAATAGAGACACTCTCCTCTATCTCGGCGGTAAGTGCATTTGCCCAGCAGTGGAAATCTGCGGTTGTAACCTCATAGTGCTGAGCACCCATCCCAGAACCTCTATCAGTCGAAACCCAGCAGTATCTATCCTTATGAGGACAGTTGTTGACTCCACACTTAAGACGAGCGACTAGAGCATGGTAATACTGCGTAGTATTAGTTACTGCGTCTGCTCGTATAGTATTCGCAGTACCAATAGGGCCATTACGTCTACCTCCTGAACTAGGTGCCCCAGCTTGTATACGGTGTATGGAGGCGTGCGACGGCGGTGTCTCATTATTATTCTGTGGAGAGAGTAATTCCCCAGGAGGACGACTGAGCGCAGGCGTCCTACGTGTATTTGTAGACGGCGTTGCACTACGAGGTATGGTCCTAGAGGCTTGTATTCTTTGTTTCTTCATGGCTTCATAGCCGGGACATAATACTCTGACTTCGAACTTCAGATCGATATCGTGCTTCGGTTTCCTCGTGTGGATACGATCAATATGGGATAGAATCTCTACCTCATCCGTAAGGGCAAAGGAAACCTCCATTGAGTACGTATACTTGTTTGAGGACGACTGAGACTAGATAACAAGGTATGTTTTTCCGTCGAAGTCCCACGACTCATCAGCAACCACCTCCTGTATACACTCGTTAACCACATCCTCAACCTTATCGAGTGCCCAAGATTCGCGTAGACACGCCGATAGGTTCTTCTGTTTCTCCTTCTTTCCATTAACGCGAAGTAATAGTACTGGGTATAGCATGAAGAGGGCGATAGCCGCAGGAGGACTCGACGGAGGAGGCTCGTTTCCGGTATTACCCACGACGACTGGGGTATTACACCTATTACCACGTAACGGTGATGGCGATGAGGGTATATCTATAGCCTCATTCGACGCCTGGGGCATAGAGACGAGTATCTCTGCCGCGTTCGCGTCATGATCAGGTATAGTTGTTGGCTGTTCCACGTCCACAGCCGGCGTACCACTTGCTATCTTGCTCTTAGACTTCCTTTTTCGGACTGTCTGAGTACGACCTGCTGTCGCCCTTGCTGTCGGCTGACGATTAAGACGTGTTGGAGGAGGAGGAGGAGGAGAAGGCGCCTCTGTCGAGCAATTAGGTATCTCGAGCGGCCTGCTGAAACGAGCCCTCTTACCACTACGACGTGCTGTAGGCATAGTTTAGGGGTATTCCGAGTATTGTATAGTGTGGAGACGAGGCTAATAAGTATACAGGCACGTGGATTCGACGTATTTCACGACGTTGCGGCTGCTATGCACGATAATGTTCAAAATGCTCGTTTACTATGGAAAAACGGTGTGTCGCGCACAGGTGTGCACGCCAAGAGTCGCGCTGAAAAAGTTACAGACGGATCCTCGGTGGGTAGCCCCCTACACTCAACACCTAAAATCGGGCGCTAAGCAAGTTGAATATCGCCTTCGGCTATTCCATAATCTGATTACAGTATCGGTCATCCTAGAAGACACGACTCCTTCTCAAACAATCTCTAGATTGAGCAGGCTGATGAACAAGACTCAAGGCACATCTCTCCCAAGTGTAAATGTGATTGGGCTTCGTTCTCCAACCAATGTAAGATCAACACCAGGTGCGTGGCTTCTAAGATGCAATAGCCGCCATGGGAAAGGCTAAAAGCCAAGGCACCTGCCATCTTACATCTCCAATGCTTCTCGTCACGCCTAGGACGAATGGTACAGCGCTGTCTGACAAGCGTCTGTTGGAACGACGCTTCGCTTAAGGCAGATGTACTTTTGCTTTTAGAATGAGCATGCTCTGACCGTGCCACATGCAACACAGCCAAGCGGCGCACTCTCTTGCTCTCTTGCCCAAATTTAGTGCCTTTGCGTAACAATTGATAATACGTCGCTTGAAAGTTTGCCGATATCCATGTTTTGGAGACGGCTAATAGAGGGCATATCATCACTTCTTAGGCATAATTCAAGGTTCTAGCAGGCTACTAGAGTAGACTTGGGAAGCATCTCTCCCACGCATAGAAATGGCCGAATGGCTACTTTGCAGTCTTCTCCGCTCGTTCTGTAAACGACCCTGCGCTACGGCTGTGCCTTTCTCACTTCACGCGTGCGGCAATGGTGGTGTCGGTCGACCCGAGTCTGCATTAGTTGCTTAGGTATCTAGAAAAATATTGTAGATCCGCCTTGCATGGCCAGCGCTTAATAGCGCGGCACAGCAGACATTAGGCTCGCTGATAGTTTGACCAATAGTGATACGAACGACATCTAATCTCCTTCACTTCACGCTGCGCACTATCCGAGCGAGCCTGGTAATCGTGCCCCCCGTTCACCACATTCACGCCCGCTGTAGGGCAGTCTGTTAGTAGCAACTCCGCCTAAATCAAAATGCGCGACGCGTGTACACAGAATGAGGTTCTATAGAGTTAAGTTAAGGTTTAGTTTAGGGTTATCGTACGATATATAGCTATAGAAAGAGAGTGTAGTCATATTCGTATCTTGCCATCACCGGAATAACGTTTTTCCAGCTACCCACAGAATAATTTTCACCTCTCTTTAATCATACAATCACCATAACCATACTCACAACTATAACCATAACCACCATAACCACAACAACAACCACAACAACAACCACAGTAATAGCAGTAGCATCAATAGCAATGGCGTAATCGTTTCTACTATTCTCAAGAGCTCGTGTAAGTCGTACGAGCTATAGGTAGCATGCTAATAGAGTGTATAGATCCAATAGTAATAACAACAACCAAGCCCTTGTCCTCTACCACCCTATCCCCCACCCCGACATCCCCGGCCAGGTGGTCGGACGATATGAAGAGCATGGAGGTAGGAGGTATATCTTCAGAGTTGGAGGGCAGGAGTTAGCACCCTGGTGTCATAATAAGCAGCAGTGGGCGGTCTTGGCCTTACCTAGTTAAGATATTGAGTATAATGGCCCTTCTGCCATTCAATTCTACCAGATCTGGTCATACCGCCCCTCTACCATCAACTCCGTCCTCGTACAATCCTGTGGACGTAAAGAGGTTATGCCCTATACCCAGTGTATAAGGGCAAGAGCCCCCGCGTTTCCAACATGTGTCCGGTTACCAGGCCATTTTAGGGGAGCATGTGGCTATTGTAAGAAGAAGGACTAGGTAGCCAGATGCTCTGCACGAGATCGTACGAGGGTGTTACACCAGGGTAGTGCTCCTACTACAGCTATTACTATATTACCACTACCTCCAGAGGAGGAGGAAGAAGATGATAATGATAAGGGGGAGGATATAGAGATAGAGGAGGAGGAGGAGGAGGAGGAGGAGGATGAGGATGAGGAGGAGGAGGATGAGGATGAGGATGAGGAGGAGGGGGATGGGGTAAGTCAGTCTATGAGACTGCAGCTGAAGACTAGGTATGTGAATCGTACGACTGAAGTATATAGTATCTATACCAACTAGGTATAGGGTTTTGTCCATACCACCCGCCATATACTAAGCCTTTACGTGGCGGCTGGAATAAGTACCTCATGGGAAACCAATTAGTATTCAAGAGTAAGAGCTATGTCTACCCTATTATACGATATAATGACTACCTTCTACCTCTAGTTCTTAGCCCAGCTAGCCTAGCCTCAGCCTCACCCTCCTCAATACCCTACTAAACAGATTCAAGTATTCTCTCTAAGAATGTCTTACTTCCTCGTACGAGCTCTATAGCTAAGGGTAGATTCTTATTACCGTCACTATCTTCTACTAGGTTAACCTCTCTCATAATCTTTAGAGTCGTACGAAGTGTTAGAGTTAGCTTTAGCTCCTGCTTAACCTTAGACTCCTGCTTAACCTTAGACTCCTGCTTAACCTTAGACTCCTGCTTGACCTCGGATTTAACGAATGGATTCCCAATGGCCTGCTTACTTCTCTTTTTCTTTGGTCTCGTACGACTAATATATGGAGATGGCGATTCCTTAGGACTAGTCTTATTCATCCGCTTCAGCCTGGTGGGTATTGTCTTAACCTCAGCCTCAAATTCCTCCTAGTGCTTGATCTCTTAATAGAGAATGTTAATCTCGTACGATTTATTAGTCTTCTAGTTCCCTACTATGACCTTAAAGTCTTCTCCTTCAAGACAGTCCATGATTATATCATATAACGTAAGGTCAACTGCTATAAAGGGCCCTTTTTGGATAACAGATGTATAGATATGGATAACATGATTATCCTCTGGCTTATCCTAAAGCCAGGGGGAAAGCCATGTTCTCGTACGAGCTTCAACCTCCCTCATAAAGATCTATGCTAATTAGTGATGGGAGTCTCCAATTTATTAGTTTGAGACCTTAACTAGGTATTTCTAGGCTATATATATATTAGTAGAAGTCTCTTCTATAGGAATATCTCGTACGAACCTCTTCCTTACCGTGTACTCTCATTCTCCTCACTTCCATCAGGTAATACCCGGGTTATGTTTTTCCATATCACAATGTTCAACCTAAGCTTCTTTTCCCCAACTCCTGGCTTTCTATGTTTAACTATTAATCGGTTACGGGTTCTCTCAATCTCTTGTGCCATCTTATTCATAGCCATTACCCTTGGTTTATATAGGTTCTCTTCTTCGCTCGTACGATCTCGAGCTAGTGTTATAGCCTATTGTACACGTGCGATATTTTGTTCTATATATCGATGAGCACGTTCTCTAGTAGTAGTATTAATAGTATACTAGCCTTTTGTATGCCATTGGCTAGAGGAGCCTTATTAAATAGAGAGGGCTGTCGTACAATCTCGGTCTTGTTTTGTCTTCTGTGACTCTGGGGAGTCATTAATAAGTGTAATTGGTTCTACTACTAAGCTACCTCGTGGGTCAAACTCTATAAGAAATGTATTATATGCGTTATACTTGGTGTTGCCTTGTTCGTATAATTCATTATGTCGTTTCCCACTCTTTAACTTAGAGCAGACCTTAAAGAAGGCAGCTGTAATCTTTAGTGCCATATCGTACGATTAAAGAGGAGATATAAAAAGAAGATAGAAGTAGCTACTACTAAAAGTTATTAAGATGAGTAGGCTCATCTACTATATACATAGTATCTTCATAGACATTCTGGTCTACCTAGTAAGGTTGTACGATACCATACTTACCATCTGGTTTAATAATACCTTCACCTGCAAATTCCACCTCCTTATTACCATCTCTACCTATACCTAAATCCTGATTATCCTGTTATACTATAGGGCCATGCCTATCTTAGTTAGTATAAGGTCCCTAGAGAAGTATTAGTATCACACCGCTCCTTTACTCGTACGATATATACCTGCTACTACCTAGCTCTAACTAGAGACTTTAAGAGAGAAAGCTGGGGTTCTAGACTAGAATTAAAGTGCTTATGAGTTAGCTGCCTTAGCTTAAGGTATATTAATCGATAAGGATTCAGCCGATCGTATAATGTGTCTAGTGGGCCCTTTAGATTAAAATTAAGTCGATCTAGCTGTTGCTGGCACCATATAAGAGTATTAGGTGGTAGGTATGCATTAAGATTATAGATACCTGCCTCTTCAGCCTCTGACTTGACTCGTACGAACTCAGTTGCGTTAAATTAGACTGCACCATTCATGATCTCAGGTCCTGGGTGGAAGTAGTTCATCCATGGCTTCCCATAGACCGTGTTAGGGCGATTGGCCTGCTTCCGAATATAGTGCTTATTCTATGTTCGTACGAATAGATCGAGCTCTCTTCGAAGAACTGGTGTGTAGATAGCAGAGAGTGTAACTATATCAGGGATAAACTTTAGAGTCAGTAGCCGCTCCCCCTATAGTCTTGAAAAGTATCTCTATATAAAGTTAGCCTATACTTTTATGATCGTACGATACATACCCTCCATCTCTAGAGTAAGCCTTTTGAGAGCTGATTCCACCAGGACTTAATTCTTTGATTAGCCGTGCTTATTCCCCATATCCAGCACTCAGAAAATAGAATATCTGGCTGAGATAGCTGCCTTAGCTTCCACTATGTGGTAGCCATTAATGTAGTCTTACCGCCATGGTCAGATCGTACGAGGAGAGGCTGATACTAAAAGCTTTTAAGAACCTAAAGAAACATCCGCTCACAGCTTATAGCCGTAGTAGAAGAGATCCCAATATAGCTCCATATAATAAAGCGTGAGTAGGCATTAATATAGGTATAGATCTTAAAGCCGTACGAGCTTAGCTTATGATAGCCATCTATACTCTAATAGAAGTTTGGCCTAGGGATAATGAACTCTCCTCGTATCCGCTAGAAATTAGTCTTTCTACGTGCTATCCTAGAAGGATTAACGATTTTCATAGCTCTATAGAGCCGATCTCTATATAAGTTAGAATCATACGATCTATATAGATGAATATAGAAGACTTACCTCCTAATTAGCATCTCTTACTAGCGGAAATGTGTATAGAGAAGGCCCCGACCATAGCCCTTAACCTGTCTAGTTTTCATATGCTCTTGTAAGAGCTCTTATATATATAGCTCTGCCTGCTCTTATGCCTTAATTCCACGAATCCGATGGTATAGCCCTATTTCTCTTCGAAGTCTACTAATTATATACTGGGTTATTATACGACCTTCTCTTTCTAGAACTACTATAAGCTCTGTATTAGATAGATCTCCCTTGAATATTAATTATTTAATTCGGCGGCCAAGAGTCTCTCGTACGATTGAACCACTATCCATTTGAGTTTAAACTCCCCATTACTTTAGTCTCTTTTCTAAGGTTCTTATGGCTATACGGATAGAGAACTTAGTCTATAACCAGCTATATATTTCTTTAACTGGGACACGCGCTACCCTTTTAGCTATAATCTCGGCTTAAAGGTGATCGATGTTCGTACGAGGTCGGCTAGATATTTTAGAGATAGAGAACTAGGGACGTTTAGAGGAGTAGAAGGTAGAAGAAGAGAAGTATAGTATAAGTAGAAGAATTTATTTACGCGCCTATCGTACGATAGATTAATAATACTAGAGACTATTATAGCTAGACTACTCTAAACTAAACCTTAACTTAACTCTATAGAACCTCATTCTGTGTACACGCGTCGCGCATTTTGATTTAGGCGGAGTTGCTACTAAAACAGACTGCCCTACCGCTGTGCCACTTCCAGCTCTGCTACGCCCCTCGCAAAGTCCATTTCCTACAGGCTGTGATTGGACTGTTCGACAAGTATTGCATGCGATTGCTGTACGCCTGTGCATCATTCTCCACCAGTCGCTCCTGCAAGACCTCGCGCATCACCCGCCCCACAACCCTAGTGCTGCTGGAGTTTCGCGCTCACGTGCAATAATTCAGGCCAATGCACGGGCCATGCAGACATCCTTAAATTCCCTCGTTTCCCCTCCTGTCGGCGGAGGAATTTCTTTGCACATACACGCTACCTGGTAAGACTGTATCTCCAACAAGCGCACACTGTGTACGTATCTTCGAACCATTCGTCTTCACTTATTCTCTCGTATCTTACTCGAAATCGCAGCATGTCGCATGCACAGGCTACATATTATACGTCTTCCGACGGCAAAACATACACCACTGACGGGAAATATGTACTCGCCGGCAATCAGTGGGAAGCACGTACGGGCTCTACCAACACTAGTAGTTCTGCCAGCCAGTCGCAAACATCACTTGGACACGTTTCCGGCCAGAATCTTACTGCAGCCATGCTTGCACCGTTTGGGATGACTGCTCCCTCCCATATCGTGCCGCCGCAGACTTCGGGGAATGAGAATTGGCGACCAACCGGGCAGCGAGCTGTGCCATCTATTGATGTACTACCAGCTGTACGAGCTGCCAAGAATGGTCATCCTTGGATGAGGGCTTATGTGAATTCTTTCGACCAAGTCACAGGTCGAACCGGGTAGCGCATTTTCAATGGGCTAAACATATTGGAGGGTGTGATAAGATGCAGTCAATGTTTGTAATTAGAAATGGTTATCTCTGGCGAACTCTAACAATACTTTATCCTTTACGCTATGATTTTAGTTATCCTGAAACCCTATCTTGCAATTCGGCTGGCCTTGAACGAGCCTCGCCAGATTCTACCACGACTAAAATGTGCAACTCTGTATCTCATACCAAATTATTACTAGCATCTAACGCATGCTTTCCTGACTCTACTCTTATTCATTTTTGCGGAAGCGTTATGGAAATATATCTCAAGCGACGGGCGCACTAATCGAAATTTTTCATATAATTTCATGCTAGTCAAGGACTACTCTCAGGAAGCAAATGGAAGACCGCACACATCATTTGGGTAGGACAGAAGTCGAGCCTCTTGGTAATTGTTGTGGTATCCACGCGCTCCTTATGCTCTAGTTTATAGTCTCACGGATCATGATTTTCGTATAATGTCTACAATTAAAGCATACAGAAAGCTTGCCACATTTGACTAATTGGCAACTTAGATGGCTGAAAATGCAAGACACCAGGAAATATTATGTAAATACATGACACTCAAGCATGAACGTGTCCTCTGCAGATGTCAGGAGACCCAAACTTCACATACAGCAACTGAGGCTACTGGTTAAAGGACCCCTGATTGACAATGTGGAATCAGAATGATGCAGGATTCACGCCATGCAAATGGTATGGCATTAATCGAACAGTAACCAAGAAGTGTTCGATAATGCCAAGGTTTCCGCCATTATAAAGTACATTCAGTCCAGCAGTTGGTGGTGCCAAAGTCCAAGAATCGAGTTCGAAAGCATTATCTGGTGTGATAGCACCAGATATTGGATTTGCCCATGGAAAGGCATGTGCACTCTTGATACGAACGTCTACAGGCCAATGCTGTGACCTATCTCGAGACAAGATATAATTGGGCACATGTGCCTGCTGCAGTATGTCTGTGGGGTCCCAAGTGAACAGCATGCACTTCCATCCGATTGCAAGAATCAAACTTAATGGACGGTCAGGATGAGCGTGACCTAGACGTATTACTGCTTCACTCGTAAGGTCCTTCCAGCCATGCGGGGTGTCGTGGTTTGCCGCTTTGCATTCTACCCAAAGAAAATCCCTTCCCGTGCCTTGTGGAATTTGGCCAGGTTGACGAGGAAGTGACATTAGTCGTACCGCAATGACGTCCGGCTTGGTTTGAGATGGTGACTGTACTGGGGGGAGGCCTCTGTATGCCTCTCTTCGAATGGACCACGATACGCCATTGGCATCATCGACCTCAGGGAAGTAAAGGCGTAGAATGGCATCCCAAGCGTGCCAGACCACATCTTCTTGATCATACTTCGCTCCTCTTGAGTATAATTTGCCAATCTCCTTGAAGGCCGTCGTTGTCGGATTCCAGAAATGTGTGGGCAAGCCGGGAACCCCGAAATTTTGTGGAAAATGCGGAGCGGACTGCGCAGACGAAGACTGCTCTTGCGGATAATGTTGAGATCTTACAGAATTAGACTAGTATGACATGTTACCATCGCTGTGATAACTTACCCTGACATCTTTCGCTATCCTTGACGTGTTGTGTTTAACTGAAAGATTTATCAGCCAAAGAATAAGATGAGAGCTCACGAATGCAAGATCTGTCCTACTCTTATAGATCATGGTTGATGCATCGTTGTGCAGTCCATACACAATGATAAGGGCGGTGCTCTGTTGCAATGCGGCGTAGGCGCACATCTGGCGTTTCCTGCAGCGGGTGATGCGCGAGGTCTTGCAGGAGCGACTGGTGGAGAATGATGCACAGGCGTACAGCAATCGCATGCAATACTTGTCGAACAGTCCAATCACAGCCTGTAGGAAATGGACTTTGCGAGGGGCGTAGCAGAGCTGGAAGTGGCACAGCGGTAGGGCAGTCTGTTTTAGTAGCAACTCCGCCTAAATCAAAATGCGCGACGCGTGTACACAGAATGAGGTTCTATAGAGTTAAGTTAAGGTTTAGTTTAGAGTAGTCTAGCTATAATAGTCTCTAGTATTATTAATCTATCGTACGATAGGCGCGTAAATAAATTCTTCTACTTATACTATACTTCTCTTCTTCTACCTTCTACTCCTCTAAACGTCCCTAGTTCTCTATCTCTAAAATATCTAGCCGACCTCGTACGAACATCGATCACCTTTAAGCCGAGATTATAGCTAAAAGGGTAGCGCGTGTCCCAGTTAAAGAAATATATAGCTGGTTATAGACTAAGTTCTCTATCCGTATAGCCATAAGAACCTTAGAAAAGAGACTAAAGTAATGGGGAGTTTAAACTCAAATGGATAGTGGTTCAATCGTACGAGAGACTCTTGGCCGCCGAATTAAATAATTAATATTCAAGGGAGATCTATCTAATACAGAGCTTATAGTAGTTCTAGAAAGAGAAGGTCGTATAATAACCCAGTATATAATTAGTAGACTTCGAAGAGAAATAGGGCTATACCATCGGATTCGTGGAATTAAGGCATAAGAGCAGGCAGAGCTATATATATAAGAGCTCTTACAAGAGCATATGAAAACTAGACAGGTTAAGGGCTATGGTCGGGGCCTTCTCTATACACATTTCCGCTAGTAAGAGATGCTAATTAGGAGGTAAGTCTTCTATATTCATCTATATAGATCGTATGATTCTAACTTATATAGAGATCGGCTCTATAGAGCTATGAAAATCGTTAATCCTTCTAGGATAGCACGTAGAAAGACTAATTTCTAGCGGATACGAGGAGAGTTCATTATCCCTAGGCCAAACTTCTATTAGAGTATAGATGGCTATCATAAGCTAAGCTCGTACGGCTTTAAGATCTATACCTATATTAATGCCTACTCACGCTTTATTATATGGAGCTATATTGGGATCTCTTCTACTACGGCTATAAGCTGTGAGCGGATGTTTCTTTAGGTTCTTAAAAGCTTTTAGTATCAGCCTCTCCTCGTACGATCTGACCATGGCGGTAAGACTACATTAATGGCTACCACATAGTGGAAGCTAAGGCAGCTATCTCAGCCAGATATTCTATTTTCTGAGTGCTGGATATGGGGAATAAGCACGGCTAATCAAAGAATTAAGTCCTGGTGGAATCAGCTCTCAAAAGGCTTACTCTAGAGATGGAGGGTATGTATCGTACGATCATAAAAGTATAGGCTAACTTTATATAGAGATACTTTTCAAGACTATAGGGGGAGCGGCTACTGACTCTAAAGTTTATCCCTGATATAGTTACACTCTCTGCTATCTACACACCAGTTCTTCGAAGAGAGCTCGATCTATTCGTACGAACATAGAATAAGCACTATATTCGGAAGCAGGCCAATCGCCCTAACACGGTCTATGGGAAGCCATGGATGAACTACTTCCACCCAGGACCTGAGATCATGAATGGTGCAGTCTAATTTAACGCAACTGAGTTCGTACGAGTCAAGTCAGAGGCTGAAGAGGCAGGTATCTATAATCTTAATGCATACCTACCACCTAATACTCTTATATGGTGCCAGCAACAGCTAGATCGACTTAATTTTAATCTAAAGGGCCCACTAGACACATTATACGATCGGCTGAATCCTTATCGATTAATATACCTTAAGCTAAGGCAGCTAACTCATAAGCACTTTAATTCTAGTCTAGAACCCCAGCTTTCTCTCTTAAAGTCTCTAGTTAGAGCTAGGTAGTAGCAGGTATATATCGTACGAGTAAAGGAGCGGTGTGATACTAATACTTCTCTAGGGACCTTATACTAACTAAGATAGGCATGGCCCTATAGTATAACAGGATAATCAGGATTTAGGTATAGGTAGAGATGGTAATAAGGAGGTGGAATTTGCAGGTGAAGGTATTATTAAACCAGATGGTAAGTATGGTATCGTACAACCTTACTAGGTAGACCAGAATGTCTATGAAGATACTATGTATATAGTAGATGAGCCTACTCATCTTAATAACTTTTAGTAGTAGCTACTTCTATCTTCTTTTTATATCTCCTCTTTAATCGTACGATATGGCACTAAAGATTACAGCTGCCTTCTTTAAGGTCTGCTCTAAGTTAAAGAGTGGGAAACGACATAATGAATTATACGAACAAGGCAACACCAAGTATAACGCATATAATACATTTCTTATAGAGTTTGACCCACGAGGTAGCTTAGTAGTAGAACCAATTACACTTATTAATGACTCCCCAGAGTCACAGAAGACAAAACAAGACCGAGATTGTACGACAGCCCTCTCTATTTAATAAGGCTCCTCTAGCCAATGGCATACAAAAGGCTAGTATACTATTAATACTACTACTAGAGAACGTGCTCATCGATATATAGAACAAAATATCGCACGTGTACAATAGGCTATAACACTAGCTCGAGATCGTACGAGCGAAGAAGAGAACCTATATAAACCAAGGGTAATGGCTATGAATAAGATGGCACAAGAGATTGAGAGAACCCGTAACCGATTAATAGTTAAACATAGAAAGCCAGGAGTTGGGGAAAAGAAGCTTAGGTTGAACATTGTGATATGGAAAAACATAACCCGGGTATTACCTGATGGAAGTGAGGAGAATGAGAGTACACGGTAAGGAAGAGGTTCGTACGAGATATTCCTATAGAAGAGACTTCTACTAATATATATATAGCCTAGAAATACCTAGTTAAGGTCTCAAACTAATAAATTGGAGACTCCCATCACTAATTAGCATAGATCTTTATGAGGGAGGTTGAAGCTCGTACGAGAACATGGCTTTCCCCCTGGCTTTAGGATAAGCCAGAGGATAATCATGTTATCCATATCTATACATCTGTTATCCAAAAAGGGCCCTTTATAGCAGTTGACCTTACGTTATATGATATAATCATGGACTGTCTTGAAGGAGAAGACTTTAAGGTCATAGTAGGGAACTAGAAGACTAATAAATCGTACGAGATTAACATTCTCTATTAAGAGATCAAGCACTAGGAGGAATTTGAGGCTGAGGTTAAGACAATACCCACCAGGCTGAAGCGGATGAATAAGACTAGTCCTAAGGAATCGCCATCTCCATATATTAGTCGTACGAGACCAAAGAAAAAGAGAAGTAAGCAGGCCATTGGGAATCCATTCGTTAAATCCGAGGTCAAGCAGGAGTCTAAGGTTAAGCAGGAGTCTAAGGTTAAGCAGGAG